GGTACTTGATTGTTGTTGTGATGTGTTGTTGTTCCTTGTTTTCACTACTTGAGCGCTTGTATCGGATTTTTCGTTTGACTCTTTAGCACAAATTTTACTGGCTAGCAAATGTTTACCCTGCAAATGTGCTTTTTCTATAGTTTTATTATACTTGGTTGGAAAAATTATAGCAAAAATCGCCTTACAAGCACACTACAACCGATTTTCCAGCATGTAGTAAAATTCACACACCACAAGAGAAGTGAAAATAGGAAAATGCACCACCGACCGATAGCAACCTATAGGGCTCTGTCACACGGTCAGTATTTATTGACGTGATCCAAGTATCGCGATATTTATTGACGATGGAGCATGCAGCATTGATGAATCGTGATACGGATCATGAACGAAAGACACAAGATCACGTAAGAACAAGAGAGTGAAAAAAGTCGATTTTTTTAGCGGGTTCTACGCCATCTTGTTTCACTGGAAAACGAGCGAAAAGTAAACAAAGCAAAGAAAACAACGAAAACCAAAATTAGCCAAAATTATTGTCAGCCACTTGAAACGCACAATTTAGGTAAAATGATGCAACAAAATGCTTTAAAATGTGTTGTCATGTTGAATTAACTCTTCTTTACTTGAATAAAAGTGTAAAATAGTGGTGCTTGTGATGTAAACAAACGCCCAAGCTGACCAGCCCGCTTTCGCAAACTTTTTTCTCAAAACCAGTTACAAATACAACGTCGCGTTCTTACGTGATCTTGTATTTTTGGTTCATGATACAGATCGCAAAATATTTAGAAATTTTAAAATCTGGATCATGGATGGAAATACGGTCAATAAATATCGATGGTGTAGCATTTTAAAAACGCGATCCACACATTTCGTCAGTAGATCTTGTCCTCTCATAATGCTAACATCGAAAAAGTATGCGTTCTGCCTTCGCTCTCGGCGCTTAAAACCTGTCAAAACAAAGTAAATGTATTTTAATTAACATTGGAAATTTTAAAAGAATTGTGGAGCGTTATCTATAAAATATACGTACAAAATAAAAAAAAATTCTTGCGCCATATTAAATATTGAACATGTAGTATTAGTTCGCGATCCATCAATCCATCAATATGCATCACGATCCAAATATCGTGATAAATACTGACCGTGTGACAGGGCCCATAATTTTTAGGGTTTTTTTTAGGCAATACGGGCCTGTGCCAAACAGTAACTTTTTTCACGGTGGGACGGGTGAAAAATTTGCAATGGTGTACAAATAAATTGAATTTTGCTGTGCCAAATGCAAAGTAAAATTTTGACAGTTGAAAAACCAAAAAAATGCTCGTGCGAAAGCTCTATTTTTGTGTGTTGCTCAAATTGTTAAAATTTATATTTATTTTATAACTTGCAAGTTTCGTAGGCTTTTTTGTGCTTTTGCAGCTTTCATTTTCATCTTCACTCTTTATTACTAGCCGTCTCCACAGGATAAAATTTATTGCAGTCCAACTGTCATCTTGGTTGCTAAATATACAGCCCAATTCTTTATACTCCCGGGGAGTTTGTTCTTCGGGAATTTGTTTCTCCCGAAAAAGAAATCCTCCAATAATTAACTGCCAGGGAGTAGAATTTTCCCCAAAAATTTGGGAGGGGTAAATTCAAACTTCGAAGAAGTTTTTTGACACTTTTTTGAGAGCTCAACTCCGTCATTTAATATAAAAAGTCCTCAGGGGATTTTTATTCATGATGGGAGGAAAGGGAAAAGAGAGAAAACTCCCAGGGAGTTTCTGTTCAGAATCGGCCTGATAAGTTATGTGTATCAGTGGCAATATTTGTGAGGGCTTTTTATATATTGATATAAGAATTGTAAGATGGCTTCTAGAACGTATTTGTGCCGGATTTAATTGCTTAAAAAATTTAGAAAATATGCTTTTTTACATCCAAGTACATAATAACAAATATTTTAACAGAAAACAGCTCAATTTTTGCTTTTATATAAAAATATCAATAATGTTAAAAAAATGTAGCTGTCAAACTACCAAATTGCTGGCAATAGATGGCAAGATATAAGCTCTACTATATATTGCTCTAATAAAAGTATCAAGATATAAATTGTATCCTGTGGAGACGGCCAGTTATAGCTGAAATACAATGGCTTTGTTTCTTTTCTTTTCTAGCAGATAATAATCAGGAAGAAGAAGAATGAGTTCTTCAATCTAGTATGCAAAATCTTCATTAATTGAAATTAAATTATTTAGTATGTATTCAAAGAAAACAAACTCTAAAGAACCCCCGAAATTCAAACCACGGTTTTTAGTAGACCATTTTAGTTTGCGCAATCAACGACATGAAACAACCCGGTTCGCAGCCATGATGCAATAATACAGGTGTCATCAGTTGGCAACTTCTCGCTCTATTTCCGCCATATTGACTGCCTTAGGTGAGACAATTTTACTTCATTAACAATTCTTTGCCTATTAATATAGTTGAATATTTGTTTATTTTTTCTCAGTATACACATTTTTTTTCTTTAAAAGGTATTTTATCTTATTTTATTTCATTACATTACGAATATACTATAAAAAAGCAAATTTTGTTTAGGAAAAAATGTGGAATTTTATATTTTTCCCCCAAATGGGGCTTAATTTCTTCCCGTTTTTCTTCTCGTTCTACTGTGCTAAGGCAGTGTCAAATCGAGCTGTCACAATTGATACCACCTTGTATTATTGCATCATGGTTCGCAGCTAGCTTATTTCACCACTCAAAAAATCGGAAAAATATCGAATCGGAAGCTATCGACTAATCCAAACATCGTCGACTTGATCGATTAAAAAGCGGCATCTCTTTATCACTGGCATTCACGAAACATGGCTGATAAGCGAAAAAACAAAAAATCGGTATGAATTAATTGTAATTTTAGGGAAATAATGATAAAAGCATATATTTATTTATATTTTAATAGAAAGAAGAGATTGCGCGGGAATTCGACCTGCCCGAAAGAAAGTCGAAAATCGCTACTATAATGAAACAGGATGGCCAGGCATACTGTATATGTCGTACCTCGGACTGCTCGCGTTTCATGATGTAAGTTCCCAAATTATTTGGAAGAATGTCATCTTATCTTACCTATATCCTACAGCGGCTGTGATGGTTGTGAGGAGTGGTACCATGGCGACTGCATCAATATCACTGAGAAAGAGGCCAAACACATTAGGCACTATTACTGCCAACGCTGCAAAGAGGAAGATCCCAGTTTGCAAACTGTGTTCCGTGTGGTGCCAGTCGAAAAGACTGCGGCGCCAATTGGCGCTGCTGGTGTTAATGACACGGATAAACGGAAAAAATTAAAGGACCAAGTACCACCGAACATTATTGGATCTGCAGCAGTGGTTGGGAATAAACAAATGATAAATCACTGCGGTAACTGTGACGGCTGTCGGGCGCCAAGCTGTGGAATATGTGAGTCATGTCGCGTACGTGGAAATGGTCAGAAACCAAGATGTGAAATGCACGTATGTCAGGCACCACCGATGCAAGCATCACAGCAACAACTAGTACAACCACAAATACAACAAACAAATCCACCTTCAACATCCGCACAGACGGCCAGTCGTCATAAACGTAAAGAAAAGCAACCAAAAGAGAGGATGAGAAAACGGAAACGTTCGTTAAGCCCGGAAGTTTTCATGAATCCAGAATTGGAGGGTATACGACAATGCTATGGACCACGATGTAAACATAATGCAAGGCCACAATCAAAATACTGTAGCCATGAGTGCGGCATTAATTTGGCAACTAATCGCATTTTTCAAGTAAGATTGCTTGACAAATTGTATTTGCTTTTGGTCCATGATTCAATAATAGTATTATTGAATCATGCTTTTGGTCTATACAATTTCAAATATATTTGAATTTTTAGGTTCTGCCGCAACGTGTTCAAGAATGGAATCTATCTAGCTGCCGTGCAGAAGAAGAGAACAAAAAGCAATTAGATCAAATACGTTCTAAACAAGCTGTGGTACGTTTTGCGTTGGCGGAACTGGACAAACGCCATATGGAGTTGGATATGATTGTAGAACGTGCCAAACATAGCACGCTGGATCAGAATCGTTCACAAGATAATAATGACATCGAAGATGAGCAATCGATGTACTGTATCACATGTGGCCATGAGATCCATTCACGAACAGCGATTAAACACATGGAAAAATGTTTTAATAAATACGAATCGCAAGCCTCTTTCGGCAGCATTTTCAAGACACGTATCGAAGGCAATTCAATGTTTTGCGATTTTTATAATCCGGCTAGTAAAACATACTGTAAACGTTTGCGCGTGCTTTGTCCCGAGCATTGTAAGGATCCGAAAATAAGTGACAATGATGTATGCGGTTGCCCGTTGGTGGCAAATGTCTTCAAGCCAACTGGAGAGTTTTGTCGCGCACCAAAAAAGAGCTGTTTCAAGCACTACGTTTGGGAGAAGATACGACGCGCCGAAATTGACTTGGAGCGTGTACGTCAGTGGCTGAAAATGGATGAGCTGCTTGAACAGGAAAGGCATATACGCCATCTTATGGCCTCACGCGCGGGCGTATTAGGCCTTATGCTGCATTCCACCTATAATCACGAAGTAATGGAGGAACTTTGTCGGCAGCAATACTTCAGTAATGCAGCTTCAACATCAGGGGACATGGTAATTAATAGTTAAGTTTATTTATAAAAAGAGAGCGAAAATAATGAAAATATTATGCAAGAGTATTTTAATCGTATAGCTGTAAGAAAAACAAGCAAGTAAATAACAACGAATGCAAAGCAATTGTATTTTGTTTACCCAAGGCAAATGGATTTTTTAGCTTACTTTCGCACTTGAAATACTCAATAGTGTAGTTTATAATGCTTTTAATAATCACATTTATTTTATACAAAATATATATACACGGTGTAAGAAAACATAGCTTCGTGGGAGGCTATGTAAGAAAATTATGTAACTGCTGCATTTTTTATATAAGTATGTATGTATATATGTATGTATTTTATGAAAACGCTTCATGTCAATTTTGTTATAGCGAAGTAAGTTATTAACTTTTATAACCCATCACATAAGGCAAGCGTTCCATTTGCCTCCATAAATTTGTACGCACCGCTTCGAAGCAACGTGTCGCATCTATGTAGATTGTCTCGTGGCGACGTGCAAGATATTCATTTACCGTAGCTTCATTGCGCGAGAAATATCTCATCTATTACATCGTAGAAAACAGAAAAATTAATTTTAATGCCAAGACTATTTTCATCGAGAGTATTATAGCTAAAAGGTAAGAGTTCTCCTAAATACTTCGAACTCTTACCTCATGTTCTATATATTTGCATGTATTTTGTGGGCATCCCAGATCTGGCTTTGTCACTAAGCGTCGCAGTGCCATTAATTCGGGACACTGCAAGTACACAAGTTTATTGGGTGGAATTTTGAATTTTTCAAACATTTCTGTGAATTCCTCAACATTATGGGGATAATTGATCAATACCCAACCCTGACGCAAGGCATCCATTTGTGCCAAGCGCCTTTGTATGATCTCAGCTACGACCATCGATTTATCCTTTGCCACATTGTCGGCGAATGCTTTATGCAACAATCTTGACAAGCCGTCGTTGAGAAAGAAAGTTGCATGGATTAGTTGGTCAGCGTCAACTACGAAAATTTCGTATGTTGACAATTCAATCAATTTTTTTTCTCAAAAATATGACTTACTATAAACTAAATTGAAACGTTTTGTCATAGCCAATGCCTGAGTTTTCCGACCAGAACCGCTGCGGCCAAATACGACTATGCGATGATGGAAGCGGCGTGGTAGTTGGTAGTAATCTGCAATAAGTATTTTTTTCAAATAATTTTGACTAGATTAGATAAATATATACATAGCTTCAGGTCAATGTTGTTGAACAGTAGAGCTTCTGGAGAATGTTGCAGAGATGACTTATTTCATATTTTTCATATTTACCTATATTGCTGTTCGTATAGCTTGCTTTTAGGCACATATGATAAAACTCGTCGGCAATGCGTCGTATATTTTTGGCTATCCAATGCTGTGGGTTGGTAGGTCGTATAAGGCCAATTTCGGCCATCAAGCGCTTCGTAAAAAAGTTTTTTTTTCAGCTTATCTCAATAATACTAACTACATCGTAATGCTTTCTTACCGTTATAATTTCAATTATTTTATGTTTCTCGAAATAAACCATTAGTTCTGCAGAATACTCAGCCATTGCCAATTTTTGTATGGGAAAATACATGCCTTTGTATTTAAACGATAATATCTAATAGTAGCATCAAAGTATAAGGATATTTTTTAATATCACCCGAAAAAAGTAACCAATAAATTTGTGTGACAATGAACAAATATGTCTAAAAATGATTGCAAAAGTGGAAAGTTTATGTTTCAATACAAGTCTTATGTAACAAAACTAGATTTTACTTAAAGTTTTACGTGGCGCCGGCACCAACATTTTTATGTAAAGGAGGAGGTTATGTTACGAGCCAAATTTCTTAACCGTTTTAAAATGTATACCTACGGTGGCCATATTTATGGGGGCCGAATACGGGACAAAAAAATTGGTGTTATCAGTTTTTATATATCTCCTTTAGTTTCCGAGATATTGGCTACAATTTTTTCGATAATTTAATAAAAATTTAGTTAGTAATGCAGTCATATTAAACTAATCAATATCTTGGAAATGGTGTTCTCCATTTTTGTATACCTCCTTTAGTTTCCGAGATATTGAGTAAAAAGTGTCGTTAATTTAGTAGAAATTTTGATCACATTTTGTCGTATTTCATACAAACTGGCTGCCAAATTGTGAAAAAATTACGCTTACGACAGAATTTTACTAAAGAAAATCCTTCATAAACTCAAAACTAATTAACAATAAACATTAAAATTTAAAAATTAAATAATTTAAGAGTTTTGTGAACTAGTAACATTTTCAGAGACTTTGCAGAAAATCTATTTTCGCGTTTTTGAGAAATTGTATACCAAACTTCAATCGCGATTTCCCACAACTTACCGAAATTAACATACGACAATCTTTTATCCAGGCGACGATTTCTGTACGTGTTGACTCGCCTTCGATTACACACAATTGAATCATTCAGAGTCATGCCAGGAGTCATGTAGGTGTAACTAACACATATTTATTTTCCCAAGCACATCCAAACGAGTCAGACGCACCGTTGTTGTTGTTGTAGGAGCATACAAATTCCCCAAAGACTTTTTGGGGAGTGTTGTTGGAGTGACAGTCCTTGGCCAGATATAAATCTGGCTCGTTCCGGTTACGTAGAGCCGACTGTCGTGGGAACGCAGACGCACCGTGTATGCTGCCTATTAAAGTAACTTCTCAAACTTATATGATATTTTTTTCGAAATTTTTATCCCACAAAATTTGTTACAAAAAATCCTTAAATTTTAGTACAATAAAGTGCAAGTTTGAAGTAGCTAGGATTTACCGTTAATTTTCGGATTTTTTTTTCTGACGGTGTTACGCATTTTTTTCGTACAAAGTATAATATGTTCTATAAGGTTTTTAAAAGAGAAGCAAATGAGCAGCATTATATTAAATTATAACGAGCTACAAAACTTCAAACCAAATTTGTTTCTAAAGATTCTGATTGAAAAGTTTAAAAGTTTATATATTTATATGCACCCCTATTCTGCAACTCTTTCGTATTCGGATGTTGCTAAATTTTGTTACCAAAATTGTCACCACTTCTTGCAACCGCAATTCTATTTACCTTGGTAACGTTTTAATTTATTCAGCAATTCAGCTATGGAGTTTTGTTGAAATTCTGGTGTTGCATATTTCACGGGGCAATATTTTGTTACCTGCTCATGAGATGGTAACAAAATTTACCGGTTACAAGAGTGTGGAGAATACGAAAAGGGTTTAAAAATTGAAAGTAACTTTACTAACTGGTAACAAAATTTTTGTTTTCCAACGAAGAATAGGCCTGCAAAAGGAATACAGAACATTCGGCGTCCCGTATAAATTAAAGAAATTACCAGAGCAATTGGTTAAAAACAGAGGACAGGACGGATGGTCACCGCATGTATACCCATAGTGCAATATCCACACCCTGTGTTAAAATTCTTTTGTAATACCAGCCTTAGGCTGTGTTTTTGTTTACTGATAAGAGAACGTAAACGCTCTACTGGCACAAAATTATCGAAAATATTTAATTTAAGTGTGTTGCGAAATAAGAAATATTTGTTTATAATGGCATTGATACCACCTGTAACGCGTCTCACTTCATCCGTTATACGCATATTGGGGTGCAACCCAGGGCCAATGACATTGCAAGGCACGAATACTTATCTACTGGGCACCGGCAAAAGGTAGGGGAACACAAGTCAAAATTCATCAGAGATATGCTATGTATATGAAATTTCCCTTTTTCTCCCAAGCCGCATTTTGATAGACACTGGTGATATGGATGTCCCAGAGTACATTAAACATTTGCAAGGAGTTTTGAAGCAGGAGCAGGCGTCTTTGAGCACAATTATACTTACTCATTGGCATCACGATCATGTGGGTGGCGTAAAGGATGTACTGAAGACGTGTGCAGTTGGCGGTATGATTTAAACCAAGTATGCCCAGCGCAGGGCACTTGCCTATAGAATTCTGCCAGCGCAGGGCACTCGCCTATAGAATTCTGCCAGCGCAGGGCACTTGCTTATGGAGTTCTGCCGGCGTTGAGCATGCCTGATTTAAACAATTTCACATTTGCGCCAATTTAGTTTCTATTTACATATCCTCAGATTGTCGTGTTTACAAATTTCCGCGCACTGATGCGGTAGATGTGTGCCCAGAGATTCCCGCTGACATTAAGGTACTTCCTTTGCATGATGAACAGAAATTAAGTGTAGATGGCGCGAACGTGAAAATAGTACATACCCCTGGACATACAACAGACCATGTTGTTTTGACCACAGACGACGGTATACTCTTTAGTGGCGATTGTATTTTGGGTAAGTTTTTATTAAAGAATTAACTATAGTGTGAGCTATTTTTACCTTGAACTATTCTAGGCGAAGGTACTGCTGTGTTCGAGGAATTATATGAATACATGAAAAGTTTGCATAAAATATTGGACATGAAGCCCGCAGTTATTTATCCAGGACATGGTAATATTATTGAGGTAAACAAATTGAATATAAATGGAATGTTTTTTCTATAATTATTGGTGTGTTAATACTATAAAATATTTTTAAAGCAACCTGTTGACAAAATTCATTATTACATCGACCATCGCAACCAGCGTGAAGACCAAATAATGGATTTCTTTAGTCGTAATTCTAATAAACCTCTACAAGCTATGGATGTGGTTCATGATGTATACAAAGAAACTCCAGAGCAATTGTGGCCAGCTGCTGCTTACAATGTTGGACATCATCTAGAGAAATTACAGCGTGAGGGAAAACTAAAGTTCATAGCTCAAAACGATGAAAAATACTACGAATTTCAGAAAATCAACACTTTGTAGTATAACGTATACGTTTGCAAAATAAGACATTTATCAGTATAATATGGAAAGTCCCTCTTGTTTTTTATAAATCTTATAAGGTTTATATATATTTTATATGAAGAATTTAACTTTAGTGTTAAAATACATTTTTAGTTGAAACATTTTTGCTCACTTAACTAGTTTCTGGCTGGAAGGTAATAGTGTCATCTTTAAAATTGTGCACATCATCATACCATATATCATCCGATGAGCCGGTTAACGCTGCAAGCTCGTCTTCGAATGTTGTGGGGAAAGGTGGTGAGGTTTTTTGTTTTCGCAGTGGCAATATAGTATCATAAATGTATACAAGGCCATTGGTTGGGCCAGGTATGGCGCTGCCTTGCACCCACATCACATTATATTTGGTGTTGAGGCGCCATATACGCATACCTTTCGCAATACGCCAGCGGTTGCCCATATGTCCAGGCATTTTGGTACCCGGCCAAACGCGGCCCTTCTCTCCACCACCACCAATATTACCAGGACGTCGATGTGTTTTCGTAACACCGTGCGAGGCGGGCATGCCCTTAAAACCGTGACGCTTTACTACGCCTTGAAAGCCGTGGTCCACGCTATGTGAAGTAGATTAAAGGGTTTATTTGTACATTTTAATTGAAAATAAAGTCGTATGTAATTTATAACTCACGTTTTGCCTCGTACATCTACAAAATCACCGACCCTGAAATGCGCTACATTCAGCGGCGTGCCCGCTGGTATTTTTGCCTCTGGAGAAATTATAAATCGCGCCAGATTACGCTTTGGCATCACACCCGAGTCACGAAAAAGTCCACAATACTCTTTGGTTAGGGTTGAGGGATCGACTGATTCGGCACCCACCAGTAAACAGCCATATTTATTAAGATTGGCCACCTTGGGTCTTTGCGCTGGCTGATATTCGTGAGGAGGTATATAACGTATGACATGGTTGTCCACGACCTGCAGCAAGGTAGTACGGATACGCTCGCCACTTTTTAACCAAAGTGGATATTGACCAATTTTTCGCGCTATAAGGCCACTGCGTCGTGCTTTCTCGTGCCATGGTTGTCGCTCAAATTGTTCTGTTTTAATCAAAGTCGATTGATCGTAGGAAGATACACCTTTTATGAGCGCTGGGGGACCATATTTATCTTTTATAACTTCTTTCAGAAAAGACTTGTTTTCACCGCTTATTGTTGTGTCGCGAGCCTATTTATAAATCGACGTAGATACATTATTTAATGGCATCTAAATGTTTACACATTAGATATACTTACCAATCTTTCTTTCCGTACAAACCAGTAAGGGTTCCTCAGGCGAGGTCTTGTTAAATGTCCTTTTTCACGCACTTGTGTAACCGCCACTGGACTCAGCCTATAGTGGTTCGGTGATAGAAATTTGAGGTTAGATTTATGGAGTACATTTTTATATAGTTAAAAACTTTATTATTATATCAAACTTACCGCAATTTGTTTAAATCAATTATGAGCGTGCGCAACATTTTGTTTATAATAAATTACGCTGAATTATAGTAAGTTTCTATTCATCTAGCAATGTTTTTCTTTTGGAGCAGATGAGCGAATCCACAATCACGGTTGCCACCTTTTAAAAAAATCACTAACTGAAAAAACAACCAAATCGAAAAAAAAATCTTATCCACTTATCTATTACAATGAACGTAAAAGTATAAGAAGAGATACATTTACGTTCTTTGTCTATAACAAAAAGCAAAACTTATTACAAAAAAAAAAACAAAGATTCAACAATTTTATTGAGCTCGAGGCCGTTTTTTTAATGCAAATCTTGTGGAAAAACAACATTGGCTGC